TTTTTGAACGGGCCCAAAAAAAATGTAGAGGGGGGTTTGGGAAAGGGGAAGGGACCCTCCAAAAAAAAAAAAAAAAAAAAAAAAAACTCTTCACTTTAGCCTGTTTTTACAAATGGCCGAAGCTGTTTGAAAATATTTTTTTTTTTTTTGCAGCAAAATGTATTTGTTTTGACAGTGATGCTTCGTTCCACCTTTTTATAATACAGAATAAGATCACCCATATATTAAAATGTCACACTGAATAAGCTCCAGACAGAGAATGCAGTTAGTTTTCCTTAACTCCAGGCCAACACAGAATCAGCTTGGCTCCATAGTAGCAAGGTTGAATGTTTTAAAGTGCAAATAACCACATTACTGTCCCAACAGAGAATACAATCAGAAAGTATTTCGTGAGAAAATACATTCATTACATCAGCACCACCCTCTTCTCCCCCTCGCTTAGTTCAGTGGTTTTAGGCCAGAGAGAATCTGCGGTATCACATAAAGAGGCATTCCGAAAAAGGCCATAAGAGAGGTCACAGCTCCTTGCTGCGTGACATCACTGCATTATTAAAATCTCATGACTGTGAGCCGTTCGCAGTGACATCATGTCTTTCCCCCACCGCTCCAGCTGCAAATACCTCCAGCGGATATCTCAGCTATGTCCTACCTACCCAAATCTGGACTCCTCAGGCATTCCTGAGTGGCGGGGGGGACCTGGAGGAATTAGACGCTTCAAAACATCGTGTCTTACTTTCCTGAGAATAAGCAGAGCAGTGAGGCGGCTTCGAGGAAGAATGTAGCTGTCCAGCTCTGGCTGCTTCTGCTCCCCTATTACTCACCGTGTCCTCCCAGCTGACAGTCCTCGGTTCGGGGGCCGAGGTCAAGAGCGTGCGGGGAAAACCTTCGGTGCTCCGTGTCAGCTTGCTTACGCCTCGGCCTCCGTTTTGGAAGATTGCGAGGAGAAAGGAGATGTGAGGAGGATGTTTTCTCGGGTAAATTCCTTTACAGCACAAACAGGCAGAGCAGAGAAGCGCCTCTCCCACATCACGCGAATTCACGGCTTGACTTCCATCATTACTGCTGCTGCGATGTGTGTGACTCTAGTCCACGAAAGCTGTGATCAAAGACATAAGATGGCAACACATGCTTTATTTGTCAAACGCTTGCAGATTTTATTTATTCACGTTGTAGTACGCGCAGTCTGAAGCATCTTCACCAATGTCACTAAGTGTTGTTGGGACATCGTTATAGATAAAACACACAGTAGTGAAGGAAAGCGACGCTGGGTGATCAAAAAATGTATACAAATAAAAATCAGAAGAAAGTTTGGGTCAACGTATTTTCGACTTGATCGGTCAGTGCTTTGTAGAAGCACCTTTCACATATGCAGATGGGATTTTTGAAGTTATAGAAACAATGGATCAAATAGATGAAAAGAGACAAAATTGGAAGCATAATTTTAAAACAAAAGAACTTCATTAGCGGTGTGGAAGTGCCACGTTTTTTGAACAAACAAAGCTCCTATGTGTGTACGTAATTAATGACAAAATCAAAAATTAGCCCACAAAACAAGCAGCTCATAAAAATCTAAACAATCCCCAAAGCTGCACAATCTTGTTTATGTCATAAAATCCCCCATCGTGTGTTTCATCTACATGACAATTAAAAACGATGGCACCTCAACTTCCAAATACCAAAGTGGTCTAGTCAAAACCTAGGCTTTTTAACTGCTGAAAACATTCAAATTGATCTCAAACATGTACCTAAATTTCTCATGGCAGATCCAGCTAATTTAATATAATCCAGAGTGAATCTTCATGTTTGTAATCAAAGAGGTATTTTTTATTTACTTTACATCTTGTGCACATTTATGGACATGATTAAAATGATTGAAAACAGTTTTAATTGTCTGGTAAGTGAGAAGTGCAGAAGACTCACTCTGGATGAAATTCCTTTGCAGATCTGTTAAAACAACGAATTACATATGTTTGAAGGGGAATTAATAATTTTGTGGCCTCAGAGTCGAGGTTTGAACCACGACGCTTTGATCTTACGAGGTTAATGCAGTAGCAGGAAAAGCCATAATGCCAGCCCAATCCCGTACGCCGCACCTGTACCCGACACGTCGTTTTGTGGTTCCTCTTCCTCTCTCCTGCTTCTCCTCTTCCTCTTCTATCTAATTAAAGCCCCCCCTCTTATCGGTTAACTTGGATCGCCACATCTCGGTGCGCTTGCAGATATCTCAAAGCGTTTCCATTTTCAGCATGTGTTCAAAGCTCGGGGTTTTGCCTTCCAACCCGACTCGACTTAAAACTTCGTCACAACTTTCTCCCTCACCTCGCTGCCGTGTTCCTTGGTTTCCATAATATAACGCCTTTTTTGTTCACTGATGTCCTCTGACAAAAACCTCTGAGACCTTCACAGAACATCTGGATTTATAGTGAGATGAATTTATGCAGATACCAGCAACTGGAATCAAGTGGTGTTAATGTGTTTCATTTAGGTTTAGAGGTTAAAATGTGCACACTTTTCCAATTTAGACTTGGGGGGGAAAAAATTCAAAAATTCCATTCAGCTCACATTAGTGCTACTTGGTGTTAACCCATCAGATAAAATTAAATTCTGTTGACGTAACGTGATTAAAGTTTAAGGTCTATTAATACTGTACATCTGGAAAGTATGTTTCTGGTAGATTTTGCTTAATTTTATCTGTTTTTCTTTTTTGTGTTGTGCAGCCCATGTTTTCAGTCACGCCCAGCCTTGCAACGAACGCCAACGCCGCCGCAGCGGCAGCAGCCGCTGCATTTAACCCCTACCTTGGCCCCGTGTCACCTGGCTTGATGCCCGCCGACATCTTGCCAAGCGCGCCCGTACTGGTCACCAGCAACCCCAGCGTTCCAGTACCTGCTGCCGCCGCCGCCGCCGCCGCACAGAAGCTCATGAGGACAGACAGACTGGAGGTGAGAAAGACAAAAAGAAAAGAAAAAAAGAAAAACCCCAGATATTTCAAGCTGTTGATCACACAGATGAAAAGGATTAGCGTTATAATTTTGTCAGTCCCAAATCAGCCCCAGATTAGGAAATAAATTAGCAAAGCTCCAGTAAACGTCGCGCCCGCCAAGGATCTTATTTTTTTTTCTCTCTCTCTTTTTTTCCAAGCTGCAAAAACAGACGAGGCTTTGAAACGTCGACCGACGCCTATTTTGAATAATAAAGGCAGGAGTTGGAAAGTCTTGCCTCAACAGTTTTTGTTTGTAGGCTTTAATTATGCATCTTGTATACAGTTTCTGTCACAGTAACTACACCTTATTATCATAACTCAGTCACTGCCAAGAATTAAGTAAAGGGGGGGGGGGGGGGGGACACTAATGAGATTATCTCTCAATAAACATTAAACGTGTTCCAATTAACAGGCTGCAGACGACTGTGTTTGGCAAAATCTCAAGTAGTTCGGCACAAAAGGTGTGTTCCTGTGTAAAAAAAATAAAACTTCCCGTCTTCGATGAAAAACAATTAGTCATTTGAAACCTGATGACCGCCCCTCCCCTTGCTCGCTAATTGGACGGTAAGTCAATCTCATCCATTATGTAAGCTGCACTCGGGGAAACACTCGCAGCGGAATAACGACCAAATCTTTGGAGGGCAGGCAGGAGGCGTGTGAGGACGCCGGGAAGCTTGCATTTTGCACTTGTGATGTTTGGTGGCGGGGTAATTAACGGGGGCGGGGGAGGGGGGCACGACAAGGGCCGAGCAAGTCACCGGATTGCGGTGGACGGGCGGGGGACGTGTGACATGGAGGACTGGGTCAATGACGGGAAAAGAGAAATGGAGCGGGCAATCGGAAATCGATCCTCAGACCTGTTGTGTTCGTCAGAGGGTTGGAGGTGAACGCAGACAAGGATAACAAGAACAGAAAAGGAAATGGCACAGATTGGATGTCACGGACAGAGGAGTGGTCAGGCTTGATTGCAGGCTAAAATGGTGTCACTTGTGTCTACAACTGTTTTCTTGACGTTGGTATCTCACAGGCAAAAGTGGTAAAATACGGAAAGTATTAATGCCTCTTGAAACATCTTTACATTTTGTCACATAACACATAAATGTATTTTGTCTGAATTTTTTTTAGCCAAATGCAACACAAAGTGCTAAATGTTTTGTGAATTGGAAGGGAATTGCCGCACTTGATTTCATTTTCTTTTGCAAACTGATTTGGAGGATTGTGGCATGCGTTTTCGTTCCGTCCTCTTCACTCTGACACCCCTAAATGAAATCCAATGCCATCAAATCCCTCAATAAGTTACCTATTTTGTAAACAGGATCTACTTTTGAGTATTTCTCAGAACAGCTGTGCAAAAATCAGATCACACAAAAATCCGTTTGAGAGCATTAGTGCATAAATAGCGTCATGCTAACCAAAGAACATAGCAGAGAGCAGCGATGGGAGAATTTAACAGGAAAACATTTCGTTGAGTCATCCACACAAAAAAAAGTGTCAAGAAGAGAGCCATTGTTGAAAGACAGGAGTCCAGTTTAAAAGTTTTCTCCATGCAATGCAAGAGACATGGAAAAAATGAACCTGTTTGTGTCAGAGGAACTTTTTGGATCTTTAACAAAAAGTTTGGAAACCAATTTTTGAACCAGTTTTCCCAATCATGAAACACAGTGGTAGAATTTCACATTTAAATGACGGTAAACTTATTTTTTCCACTTTGCGGTTTTGTGCTGCTGTGTGCTATTAGGATAAACCCAAAGAAACGTGTTGAAGTTTGTGGCCATCATGTGGCTTTATTCAAGCTTTTCCACTGTATGAGTTTAATCAAGTGCCAATAATTCTTGTTTATTTAACTTAAAAAAAAACAAGAAGAAGAAAAAAACATGCCTGTTTCTGTACTTTCGCACCAGAATTTCTTAAAAACATCTTAGAGAGACTTGCCTGCCTTGACTTAGAGTCTAAAGTGTGTCGTCTAAAATAAACATACCAGAAATTCCAATGGAAAAAAAAAACAAAAAAACTCTCATACCAGTCAGTAGATAATTCATTGTGGCTGGCAGAAGGTCCAATTTTAGAAGACAATCTTGCAGACTGTTTTCTCCAGAAATATTTCTTTGTCGTCTCTCAGACTTCTCTTCCTAATCCGCTTCACTACATCATTATCTCCATGTGCATTAAATCATTTGTTCCTTACCTGCAGCCCTGGTGACACAAATGTCCCACAGGGACAGCTACCGTGGGGCCAGAAATATGATTAAGGGCCCCTTTGTGTGTTTGTGGAGTGAATTAGTTTTACTGATTTAACTCCTGCTAATGCATAACTGTAAGGAGACGCTCGCCGGCTCACACCTGCCGCCCCCGAATCCCTAATTTGTTATCGTTTAGTCGTCTCTTGCCTTCTAATCTTTTTCGGTGGCACCTCTGTCTCCTCACTCGCCATCTGTCAGTCGCTTACTCTTTATTCATCAGCCCTGCTAATATCTTCTGTTCTCCCTCGCCTGCCTGCCTGCCCCGCCAACATCAGCCCGACAACAAGGCGATCTCGCTTAAAAAAAAAACAACAGCAAACAAACTAAGGAAAAAAAAAAACAACAAGGAGATGTAGCAAGGGTAAGAGGAGTAAGACCGATGTAATGTCAGTTTTCAACGTCAGTCGGTGTTGGTGAACGGGGGTTGTCTCGTCAGAGTTGTTTTCCAGACAACAGATGTGTAAACAGGCCTTGTGCCGTCATAGAAACGGTGGTTGGTTCAACCCGCCATGAAAATATGTTTCACTCTGCGAGGGCTAATGGTGAAAACGCAGCTTAGAAAAACAGCCAGGTGGAGACATGCTTCTTTAGGGTCAATCATTGCTTTGAGTCACCGGAGAAAATGTTTTTTTGTGTGCGTGTGTGTGTGTGTGTGTGTGTGTGTGTGCTCCCACGTTTTGTGCGTCTCTCTGTGTTATTTATTATGTGTATTCAGGTGATTGCGTCAGTTAAAGCCTCCCCAGAGCCTAACCATCCACATATTTCCCATGGGCCTCACTTAAGCCAGTAAATTTCATACTGAAGCAATTACATCCCTCCTTAGCTTCCTTCCGAGGTCGTGGAGATGCTGCCCCCTTCTGTCCATCATGAGAACAACAACAAAAAGGCTCAATAAATGCAAGTCGGCGTGTCAATCAACATAAGTGGACAAGTTTGTCACAGAGTTTGGATGGTTACTGGCATGTGAAGCTCTGAAGTCAAATTGATCATCTAATTTTTTTTCATATTTTGTCCTTTTACCACCAAATTCGTATTTTATTTTATTGGAATTGCATGTAACAGACTACAACTTAGTGTTTTTCTTTTAACTCTGTTCATTCTATAATGTTTGATTATACAAATTTAGGGAACAATTAGCATGACAAAGATCACAAAACACACCAGAGAGGTCAGGGATGAGGTTGTAAGGAAGTTCTAAGCAGCCTTAGAAATTACAATGAAATCCGTCTCAGTTTAATCTGCAATATGAGAAGGCACAGAATATGACACGACTCCAAAGTCACAGAGAAACGGATGTCCACATAAACTCGCAGGTCAACTAGGACATTTCTAATCAGGAAGCAACAAAGAAGTCATTGTTACAGAGGAGTGTGCATCTCACATGGGAGAGTTATCCGTTGACAGGAAAGCTGTTTGTTGTGCTCTGAATGAATCTGGTAGGACAGACACTACAGAGTGGGAGGAGATCCCCGTTCAGATCAAATTAAAAAGTAACTTTCTGATCCCTGAGCATGCCTCTCCCCTGGTGGGCATGCTGTTCTGCTGCAAGGACAGGTACACTGGAAAAGTTCATGTGAAGATGAGGGAAGTAATGATTTTTTTTTTAAAAGACCACCAGAACTTGAAAGACCTGAGACAGGACAAAGACCCTAAACATACAGCCAGACATACGAGGAAGTGGTTTAGGTCAAATCATCAATCAAGTCCACACCACAACCCAACTGAGTGCCTGTAAACAACAGGTAGGAGCACCTGTTGTTTACAACAAACGTGAACCCTTTGGCAAGGCACTGTAAACGGAGCAGCAGCTTAATCACTTCCATCTTGTCCCGTCCCTATGTTAACGTCTAAGGACGGTGTAAATGTTCCCTGTTTTGTTTGTCGCCCAGGTTTGCCGGGAATACCAGCGAGGCAACTGCACTCGAGGGGAGAACGATTGCCGCTTTGCCCATCCGTCAGACAGCACTATGATTGACACAAACGACAACACAGTCACTGTGTGCATGGACTACATAAAGGGCCGCTGCTCGAGGGAGAAGTGCAAGTACTTTCACCCCCCGGCTCACCTGCAGGCCAAAATCAAAGCCGCCCAGCACCAAGTCAACCAGGCCGCGGCCGCCGCAGCCTTGGTAGGTATCTGTCCGACAATGATGCCGCCAAAACAAAGGAGCTCATGGAAGAGATAAATTCAGAGAGCTATTCCCAGCTCATTCCTGATTTGCTTTATGAAATTTTGAAATGCGGAGCAATCAAAACATGCCAACGAACTTGTTATGTGCAGAGGAAGACGGTTCTATCCTACTCATGAAAATCTCCATTATATCTGCAGTGTACAACTATAACTCACTATGCAATTAAAGACACACATGCTTACTTGACTGTGCTAGCATGTGACTGAGCCTTCTGCTCCTCTCTTCACTCGCCCTTGTTCTGCTGCTTCATTAGCCGTGTATTTTGCTGTCCACAGTCAATAGTTAGCCTGTGCTAACATTTTTTTTTGCTGAGAGGACAACTGTGTGGAGACTACTGCTCAAATTGGTGTAGTTTCTGCAATGCAGAGATCGCTTCCTCTAGGGACACACAATGAAGTTTTGCTTAGCTCAGTGCTGTAATGACATTGTGCAGGTAAATCCAGAGAGGAGGATTAGCTCTCGTGCTGAGATGTTCCTGCATATGCCTAAAAGAAAAACCATATTGTGTTTACTGCTGTTTAATCATCGAAAGAAAGAAAAAAGAAGAGTAGAAAGTGAGACTCGTATATAGATTGTTAGGGAAAGAGTGAAATATTCCAAGACTTTATTACTTGGAAGTTTGACGATTACAGATAGTAACAACCCAAAATTCTGTGCCTTGGAAACTTAGACTTTTACACCAATTAAGAAAAAATAAATAAAACTTGTTTATTGTATAAATGTTATACATGTTATATATGTTATGAAGCTTTCATTTAAAATTCAAAATCACAGACACTAATGCGGCTGCAGGTTATGTAAAGCACAATAGGCCAACCATGTAAAACTCACAGATTAACGTTGCCAGTAAATAACATCCAGTGGCTTAATCAGGTTTAATACGTTGCAGTAAATAAAACATTGAAGTACCTAATTAAGATTAGAGCATAATGTCAAATAGATTGTCATTGGTACCAGAACCTCGTTGGCAGATAATGTGTCACAGGGCCGTAAATTAAAAATAAACGCCGCCAACCACTCTTATGGGCACCCATAAAGATGTATAAAAAGACAGATGAAAAATCTCACACTGAAAGATTTAGAAAAATACAACCATGATGCAAAATGAGAGTAAGTCCTGCATCAAAAAAATAGCTTGAATAAACTTATATCGGCACCCTGAGATGGAATGACGACTTGTCCGAGTTTGACCCGACCTCTCACCTCTCACATTGACTGACGATGGACGGATGATTGGAAACTTAATAACTGCCATAGTTGTTGATTTTAAGGTTTTCTGCAGGTTTTGTGAAAGCAGACGTGAAAGACAAACAAAAAAGTTGTGTTTTTCTAGAGTGTGTTCAGCTACAACTCTTCTGTGGGTAACACTGTTAGGAGATGATAAGACAAAAATAAAGTACTGAGTTTATCATTCAGCAGAATAAAATACAACAGTTTCTTTCCACAGTTGTGTCTAAACCTAATGCCGCTACATCGTATATAAAATAATGAGCAGCGATCAGAGCAGGAAGCCTCGGCTTTGAGGGATAACTGATGGGTTTTGCGGCTTAAGCAGAGAAATATCGACTCTAGTCTCCTGAAAGCCCAGTCAATAAACTTCAGCTTCAAATACTATCATCGAAACATTGTTCTGGTTAAACCTGCATTGACAGTGATTGGTAGTGTTTCTTTTCCCCTTCATTGAACTGAAATAAGAAGGTCAGCTGATCCTCCTGTCTGAACAGGAATACCTTTCTTCCAGCTCCGATTGACGAACATGAATTTTCTCGCTAACTGTAAACGGGTGTGTGTTCATTCCAGTAACCCTATGTGCATGCTGTAGTCTTGTAAGTGGTGTATATTGCATTCAAATGATTTGTTTATTTTGTTTGTTTGTTTTCCGACCCACACTGCACTGCTGCCCCCCCCATCCCCATGATGCCCCTTCGCTTGCTGGTTTATGTTATTGCGCTTGAACCCCATTGGCCCATTGCCGCATCACGCGCTCGCTGCCTGCTAATTAAGACTCAGTCGGCTGTCAAATCGCTGAAGCGACCCCTCGACGCAACTTTTGACCTGGTACTATGACCTTTCACCTTTTAGCTTGGCATGTCGCCATGGTGTTACACATGTCATTGACTGATGAAACTGCGGGAGCGCCGATTGGCGATGAACTCATGAGACGCCTCGATTCTGTTTACAGAGAACTTTCTCGCTCCAGAAATTAAGTTCAAAACACCAGAAATTATTTGATTCACAAATGAAAACTCAGAATTTAGTTCATCGCCTTTTGGTGAGCCTTCAGTTGCGGTCTTTGTTAGTGTCTTGGTAGTCTTTGCATGTTGGTGTTATTTTTTATTTTGCATGAATAATTGTTGAGAAAGATGTCATAACAATATTAACATGCCCCACGCTAAATATTTTATTTCTCTTCACTGACCGATGATGAGAACTAGATCTTGTACTATCAATGTCCATATATTCTTTAATAAAATTGTGATGTCTTATCCTTTAGAAGCTGCTTAGTACCAGTCATGTAGCTATGTTTATTGCCAGTGTTGCTGATCTAGCTCGATAGCACCACATCACGTGCTACTCTAACTTTAATGCAGCCCGCTGCTAATTGGTTTTATTTGTATTATCTGTAACAAGGTGAAAACTTTGCTTTCTAATGGAGTTCTCGTCTTCTCTCTCATCTGACTCTCGCTGTCGCCACTCTTTGTTTTCCTCTCTCCTCTCCCGTCCCTTTCTTCTGGTGTCGTCCCCCTGATCAGGGGCTCCCTCCCGTCTTGCCTCCTTTACCAAAGAGACCTGCACTTGAAAAAGCCAACGGTGCCAACACTATGTTCAATGCTGGCGTTTTCCAGTACCAACAGGCCCTGGCCAACATGCAGTTTCAGCAGCAGGCTGCCTTCATACCATCAGGTAGGACCTTGTTTTGTTTTTTTATATATATATTTATTTAAATATCGTCATAATGCAGGCTGCCCAATCACTCCTGGATGTATGTTTTAGCATCACTAAAGAATGGCTGAATGTGTGTTTTTTGTGTGTGTCAGTCATGCTGAACAACTTGCATGATCTTTACTGTGTATGGTTCTTTAGCCACGTATTCACACACCTTTAACTTTTTTTTTCTCAAATGTATTCATGTAATATTCAGAAACCTCAATTTGTAAGACCAACACAAACTAGTGAATTGTTGTGAAGTAGAATGAAAATGAGGAAATATTTGGAGTAAAAAAAAAAAAAGCTGAAAAGCCAGACTGGAACTATTTGACCTTTTTGGATCCAGAGCTCAGTCAGATTTAATAGAGAGAGCATTGATTTTTCAAGTTGTGGCACAGATGATCAGTGAGGTTCAAGTCAGGACTTGGCCTGAGCCATTCAATAGAAAATAAATAAATATGTGTTGGTATACAGCGTTTCATTGTTTTGGGTCAATCTCCAGCCAGCAGGTGAACCTTCACTAAAGCCCCGACTGGTTTTCTGCTTCCAACAGGTTTTCATTTTGGGAATTTTCTTTTCTTTTTTTTTGGCTCTGGAGGCCTTTATTTGAAAGTCCTATGACACAAAAGTAGGAAAATAAGAGAAAGGAAAAACATGCGGCAAAGGTCACCATGACGATATGTATTTTACCGGTTCAATGAAGAGCTCAGAAGGTCGTCGGTTTTCTATGGTTTTACAAGCTGGGAGTTCTTACGGCTTTATTTCAACAGTGTTTTTTTTTTTTTTTTTCATCTTGACACCTTTTGGTGAATAAATTTGTGGATTGTAAAACTAATAGATCAATAGATCCTGCAGTTTCCATGAGTCATTTAACTGATTGCCACACTCTGTCCAATTTAGGTGGACATTTGTATCTTCTCTTGGTAGGTTTGCAGTTGTGCCGTTCTTGTTTTGTTGAGGGACAGTAGAATGTAATCAAACAGAATAGAATAGAAATAACACTAATTGTCTCTCTGTGAGGAATTAACTGAATAGTGCTAGATGTTCAAAGACCTGCCTGGTGCCTTCCTTAGTGATGTTGCTTGTTTACTCATGTTCTCCATCAAACCTCTGAGATCAAATAGAGATCAAGTCTATTTGTGAATTAGGTGCGACTGGGAGCAGTGGATCTGATGTGGGGATATAAAAATGAAAAGGTTTCAGCGACAAAATGCAGTTCTCAGTTGCGAAAATTAGAATAAGTTCAAGGGGTATGAATGCCTTTGCAAGTCAATATTTAGACACAGCATGCATTTAAGTTTTGTGGCAGATTGACAAACATTTGCTCTGGAGGCTATTTTAGGCCAAACCAAGCAAGTGATGTATCATCTTCTTTACAAATTGCTTTCTGTTGCAAACAAAATAAAAAAAACAAACAAGTCATCAGACAATCAGGGCACCTAATTGGCTTCTAGCTTAGTTATCCAGATGTTGACATTTGACAGACAGGATCTTACTGGATCATCAAAAATGAGAAGGATGCACCCTCCACCTAAAGAGTGTGGTATAATCAAACACACACGCACACACAAGGACAGCCGTGTTGCAGAGTACATCTCTAGACGTTGCAGAGTCATCTTACAGTGTGGCCAGAGTTCTCATCTGACAGCCTAAGAATAGCTCGCCATCGATTCCCAGCAGTTCCTCGTATGTCTCACTCCACTGGGCTGTCAGGTCACCACAGCGCACTTAGGGGATTCAAAAAAGGAGGTCATTCAAATATTTCATGGTGCAAACAGTTGCTGTGAGGCCTCTGGTGAAACGAGGCCACTGCTAGTATTTAATTTTAATTTAATGGACCGGCAAATTCAGGCTGTTATGTACGCTGTTATTCCTGATAATCAGTATCAATGGTCGGCTGGAGCAATTCGATTCAGCCTGGCCGTTTAACCCACCGTGAGCGTGATTTGTTCATGTCCAGGTCAAATCCGGTGATGTGTGATTCTAAAATTGATTTTATTTTTTCTTTGATGTCTTCTCCCCTCCCTCCCCACACTCCCCTCCCATTCACTCCGATCCCTGTTGCAATGCATGATGGGCAGGCTCGATTTTGTGCATGACACCTGCAACAAGTGTTGGTAGGTGCCAGCTTTCCTTACTAATCATGTTTGAGTCCTTTGTGGTCTCTCCTGTCACTTTTAAGTCATCCTGTGATTTTGAGCACATTCTTCACCCTGCAAAACCTTTGACTGACGTTACAGTCTCTTTACGGCAGCTTCGGCCTGAATTGCAAAATTGTAAATTAAAGTTTGGTTTATATATATATATATCAATTGGAAGTTTTACTGTACTGCTGCAGTACATCCTTAAGAAATACATTTCCATTCTTTTTAGCTCTGTGAGTCACCTAATGCTTGTTGCAGTTTTAATTCACCTGCTGCATTATGTCTCCATCTGAAGCGCTCTAACCTCTGCAGTACTTCATTTTACTGTCAGGCTGTAAAAAAGCCACTTAAAACATGAGAGAATTTGTATTTGCAACAGAAATATTAGAGGGAACTAAATTTGCTACAACAATAATTTGAGATTTCTTTATTTGGCACTTAACATTTTAGCAGCTGGATGAACTTTAGTTTTTTTTCTAAATACTAAGTTTTGAACTTTATGTTGTTCAAGACGTAAAATAGCAACTCACTAGCATTTAGGAGAACCTGGTTGCAGCGACGCACTGCTCAAAGATTTGTGGACGACTTCAAATCTTCGGTTTCTGTAAACCTCAGTAACTGCTAATGCAGATTTGATCCGATTTTGAGAGCCATAATTAAACAGCATTCAATATATCTCCCTCTCTCATCTTTCTGCAGCGACTGCTCTTTAATTATTCAGAGTAGAAGCCGAGGCAATATCCTGCTGTGCGTGTGAGATCTTTAGCAACTTAATATATTAACTTATTTAGACGCTGACATTAAAGAAAGGAAGTAAAAATCTAGCATTTTAAATAACAGTTTCAACCTCACATGGATAACAAAGAGCAACTTTACATCTCCATCAGTTCTACCAAAATGTCCCAGGTGGGTGCAAACATTGATACATAGCTCCAAATAATAGAAAAATTCAGTTAAAAAACAAAATAACCAAAATGTCAAAAGTATGTGATGGAGAAGGAGCAGAATAGCCAGACTGGATGAACAGCCAGGATGCCTCAGTAGAAGAAAAGGTTGCATCTTTCCGATTCTTCATTTTTACACACCTCACTGCCCTTTAAAGAAAAAAACAAACAAAAAAAAAAAACGCTGAGTCTTCCTTAAGTCAGCACGTCTGCACCTAAGATTGTTGTTCTCGGCGCAGCCATGGAGGGCTTACTTTAACGGATTTAATGAAAAGATCCGTTTGTGATTCCAGCCTGACTGAGAGTGGAAATATGCATGAATAAAGTGACTTGGACAACATCCTCTCACCCTTTGTTTGCCAATCTATAGTCCGTGTTTCTGACCAAGCTAAGCTCAGTAGCAGATGTTTAAATTCACTCACCAAACGAGAAATTTAAGACTTGCAGCTGCTTTGCAAAAAATAACAAAAAAAAAAACTGGAGACTTCTCTCATGTTTATTAGCAGTCCGAACACAGACATGGAAATGAGGTACAGTGCATGAAAAGCTTTAAATCTCGTGTGGTTCATCTTGCCTGTGTGATCTTTCCTTTAAGTACCCATGATGCACGGTGCTTCTCCAGCCACTGTGTCTGCAGCCACCACACCTGCCACAAGTGTTCCCTTTGCAACAGCAACAGCCAACCAGGTTTGCTCCTCTTCCTGCCTCCTCTCACTTTCTTTCACATTATTATTACTTTTATTTCTTCTTTTTTTCAAATCGGCTCAGGCTTTTTCTGTTTTCCTTTAAATGATGTGATTCTGTTGCGCTTCCTCATAAATAATGCACGAAGAGAAAACAAAGGCTCGTTTCTGATCTTTTGCTAGTTGTCTGTGGTTTTGTTTCTACTCGTCTTTCACATGAAGTGCTGTTTGTCCTCGTTTTGTTCGGTCCATTCGCTAACTCTCTCTGTTTTTCCTTGTCTTCCCGTTTTCTCTTCTCCCCTCTCTGTCAGATTCCAATAATATCTGCGGACCATCTGACTAGTCACAAGTATGTGACCCAGATGTAGGAGTCTCTGTCAGAACAGTATGTACTTCTTCCTGTTGGAGTGTCTTGCACAGTTCCTGTCAAAAACCATTTCAACGCAACGTAGACGGTTCACTGGAGCTAAATGTTTAGGAAAACGATAGAAATTGTTGTCCACACTTATCGGCGTCTGTAGTAAAGGAACTGGAAGAGAATAATTTGGTCAAATGAGGCAAAGAATTAGGTTTTCTGTGGCAAACAAAATCCAGGTTGGACTATTTAACAAAAGTGGGAAATAAAATATTTTATCATTTTTCATGGGACAGTACTGAAAATATGACTTGTACAGTGTAATGAGTCTACAGCTTGTGTAACAGCGTTAATTTTCAGTTCCCTCAAAATAACTCAGCCCACACCCTGTAAGGTCTAAATCATGAGTGACTAAAGTGAGCACACAGTGAAAATGCCCAAATTGGGCCCAATTAGTCATTTTCTCTCCCCGCCGTCACGTCACTCGTTTGCGTTAAAAGGTGTCAGGAGTGAATGGGGAGCAGGTGTGTTAAATTTGGTGCCATCGCTCTCAAGCTTTCTCATTCCGGTCACTGCAAGTGCATCGTGGCAGACAGCTCTCTGAGGAGCTGAAGAAAATAAATTTTACTCCACGGAAACAAAGAGCTTGAAGACGTGGGTGGGGTTTAGCCTTCTAGCGATCTCACTGTGCTCCACTGGATAAAACGCCACTGCATCAACTATGGTGAAGAAACCTTTAAGCAGTCGGCCTGCTTCTCTTCTATAAGCTCTGGGAACTTTGTGAAACCTCAGGTTTGAAATAATAACGTGGTGCCACTTGTCAGGAAAACTGATTTTGATCGGGTCCTTCAGCAGGATTCTGTTCAAAAATACAAACATCCCTCCCAATAGAGAGCGGGTTTCAAACCAACTTCTTCCAGAACTTAAATTTATAGAAAACTTTTTCTTTTTTTAAAAAAAAGTTAGCAAAATATTGCACTCATTTTTGTTCTGGAAATTTGTCTGATTTTTTTTTTTTTTTTTTTTATTTGAAATTAAACAGTTGTAGGATTCACAAAAAGTGACTTTTTTTATTACTGCACAAACAAATTTTCTTCTTATAAAAAAACCATCATTGCTATATTGCGTCTAGACTTGTATTATTTATAATTAATCAGAGTTAATCTACATTTAACCACTTTGATGTTTAGAGATAAACCCTTATAAGATCCTCTGATCTCCTCAGCTCCTTCTGTCACACGAAAAGAATAACCACGCAATTTTATGATTCTCGGGATTTAAGATTTATTTGGAATCAACAAAAGATGATCAAAACTTCAATTGAGATGAAAAGATGGGGAAAAAAAACTGATGGGAAGTAATTAGAATGGAATCGTGCATCAAATGTTCTGGAGAACAGAGAACGTTAGTCCACACATCAAATTAAGGGGTTGATTTAAATGAGTAAAGTCTAAAACACTAGTTTCAAAATGATAATAGCCTTCACGTTAGCAGGAGCTGTTATGGTTCTCTCTAGCCTCGGCAAAACAAAGTAAGAGAAACTCTCGCTGTTACTTTCCACAGCAACAGATCAATCTATAATTTTCAAACATGAACTCCTTAATCACTCATCTCTGAGCCACCAATCGGACGCAGACCTGGGGAACACAAGTAAATCAAGCTCTCAAAGTTATTACAAACATGTAATTAATGCTAGGAGGAAAAAAAGAGACATGCTAACATGCTGGAACACATCTGACAGCATTTATAGTTACAATTCACGAATTCATGAATAAATTTTAAGTTTTGAAGAAAAAAAATGAGACTATTCATATGTCAGACTGTAATATCTTGGGTTATGCAGTGTTAGCATAGCTAAGATCATATTTTTCTCATGTTTTTAAGACCTGAACATGTTACGTGTGTGGGTGGGAATTTACTTTGACAGGACTAGAGATGGAGACTGTTAAAGTATTCACAGCTCAAAAAGGCAGAGATTCAAAAGGTATAGTAATACATAATAACAAGAAGACTAATATTAATCTAAATGTCTGTGTTTTTTTTTTTTTTCTTTTAACCTGTCCAGATGGAACTGGAGGTGGAGCGTGCTGGTGTCAAGTCCAAGATTAACAGTCAACCTTCATACAAGTAACAGCGAGAGCCGAGCCGGTTTGGAATAACATCTGCATGTTAGCGTAGAAGGAGCAACTCACTAGAGAGGTTTCTCATGTGAAGTTCATGCACAGTTTCACACGACAGACAAAAACAAAAACAAAAAAAAACGGAAGAAGAATTAGAAGAGCGTCATTTGTATTTCAAGACTTGCCTCTCGTTTTGCAGAGGCGACTAACCTTTATTCACCAGACACATTTTGAATGTCGACATAAGGTTCATGTGGGGTTGGGGGAGCAGTCGTCAGGACTGAATTGGTACGTCCGCTGACCAAGAATCACGTCTTGCGTTGTCTTGTTTGTTTATCGGTTGTTGGTTTTTCGAATGTCAATGTGTTCATTTGTTTACACCAAGGTGCACCTTGTATCTCAGTTAAAGGTAAAGGAACAGATAATCTGACTGAACTACATATGCATGCACAATGATTTTCTTTATTATTTTTTTTTTTTTCTGTTCTTCTCTGGTTCTGTTCTTCTAACAGTGATGAGGGAATTTGCCTGAGCAAGAAAGCAGCTGAATGTCTGTGATGTGTCTTGCAAACCTTTGTAGCCTACCTTTTTATCTCTCAAGCACACGTCTTTAACCTTGCAGGAGTCCCTGTAAAGTGCCATGCATCTCAAAATATACAGGAATTGTACTCAAGCAGTGTTACAAAGTTTTAAACTCAACAATTCCCTTTAATTCATACATGTCTGTTTTAGGGTTTTGTTTTTTTGTTTTTTTTTTCAGGACAGCATGTTGCGTCCAGCCACATGACCTGTCGTTACCTGGAATTCCCGCTAAGCGCCGCTGATTACTGCACCCCGAATATTCTACTGATTGAAACTTTTTTACATTTTTTGTTTTTACTATATTCTTTAATATCTGTCAGCTGTTGGACCTGCACCCACAACGATCTGTCTTTCTGTGCCAGCATGTTTTTCACATTTTTTCACTCTGCAACTACAAACTCAAATGTGTCGCTTGTTCTTCTTTTGTGACAGACCAACACAAAGTAGCGCATCATTTTTTTTTCTGCAGTTGTTTTGTTGTGCATCTAAAGACTGAAACCTTTTGCCAATTCTTTGCTCTAAAATGGCACAACTGTGAAATAACTTCATGTTCTCAGTTAGATTTAGATATAAGGCGTCGTAACGCACGAATTGAGTCGTTCTCCTGGTTTCTTGTTTACTTTCATCCATTTTCTCGTGACCTCCGATTGGCCTTCCTGTTCCACTAGAGAAAAGCCTCCCCGCTAAGTGCCGCCTGCATCATGGTCTCATCGTCGGGACAGCGTGTTCAGGTTTGTACGAAGTGTTGGGAGTTCTGCCACAAAACGCTTCATACAACATTTTACAAGCAGGTGACTTTCCGAAAGCCGCTGGAGAAACCTCGAGGTCGTCAAAGTTTTGGACTTCACACACACGCCAAATTTTTCTGCGCTATTTTGTGTTGGTCCGTGACAGAGTGAATTTAATTTAATCTGAAGTTTTTGTGGTAGTCGTGTAGCGAAATGTGAAAAAGTTCAGTTGAATAATAATGCTTTTTTTCAAGGTAGCGCAAGTTGCATGCAGGCCTGGGCGAGAGACCAAAGAATCTCTCTCTGGGATAAAGACGAAAACAATGAAATAACTGCTGTGAGGCCAAACGGAAATCTGTAAAGAAGAGTCTGCCGGTGGAGGATTGATGATGTTTGTTTTCTTTAAAAAAAAAAAGAAAGAAAAAAAACAAAAACAGAAGTCGTTTTTCTTATACATGGTTATGCATATTCTAAGACAGGTCGTCGAAGAAAAGTCGGTGTAGTGCGCGCGTGTATATATATGGTCCGACATATTTAAAAGTGTTTTTTTTTTTTTTTTAATACCTGAGAACTGTTTTTCCAGATAGTCAGCCAAAGTCTTTTTGTGTCACTGTTGTAATGAGTAGACTAGACGGGCTGACTTCATCAGGACGCCCAGCCCAAAGAAGGTTCGGGTGTTTAGAGTAGATCTCTGAAACTGCTTGTTTGTTTTTTTTTTTTTTGTTTCTCTCGTGGTTGTTTGGGTGTTCTTCAGGCATATTTTAATTGACGGACAAGGACGGCTTAAAAGCGGCAAGAAAATGAAACCTGATTGTATTACTCATCCAAAGCCTTAGAATGTACCATCGGGTCAGCACAATGCAACACGCCATTTTGAACCATGCAGCTGCCTAATCCACGCCATAATGCAACACACACAGAACACCACGTGGCTGTCATGCTCGTGTTCTCCTAACCCTCTCTCTCCTTCTGAGACAAGGAGTGCTCATTTTGTTTGGAAAATACTTTGATATTAGTTCTTAATTTTTAGTTTTGTCGATGATATTTATCTTTATGATAATGAGTATATTAGGTACAGTGTGTGTGTGTGCGTGTGTGTGTGTGTTTCTGCGTGTGTCCTCCCATCCAGAGTTTTTCCCGAAAATTCCACGTAGTGTCTCTCTCTTTTTTTTTTTTTTAGTACGGTTACGATTGTAAGCTCGATATTTTCTACGTTATGCATATTGTCGAAGCGTATGCAGTTTTTGTTCATTTCTCTCGACTTTTTTTTGTTGTTGTGTGTGTTCTTTGAACAAAGATGTTTTATATGAGTGTCTAACAGTGTTGACACAATAGAAACAAGAGAGGCTCAGTTGTCACTGTGGCAACGTTCGTCAATAACTGACTAATATTTTAACGACTGTAAGGTTTGTACCTAGTCCTATAAGCGTTAAAAAAGAAGAAAAAAGGTGTTATCGAAAAGTCTAGTTCATAGATGTTTAGAGTAAAGATGATATTTTCTACTGTATCCATTTCAAATGTTAACTATTGTTTAAATATTTTTACTCTCCCTGGAAATTGGGCCATGTTGGAAAACAAGCTGCATATTTAATCACTTTTACAGGCGTAGCCGCCAGGGCGAAGGTGAACTTGGCGAGCGGCGGTCCGACGCGCTCGTCTCCAACTTCGCCAACCGCAAACAAGGGGGGGGGGGAGGGAGACGGGGAGGTCCGGGGAGGGGACCGTGGCGATAAAGAGGTAATAAAGGTTGACTTTTTTGCACTTCTGTACATAGTCAAAAAAAGTAAATAAATAAAAATAGAGAGTATCGTGTATATTGAGATCTTATTTTGAATAAAAAAGAAAAACGATGACAGGGAATTTTGCTAGGACAACAAAAAAAAAACAACAAAAAAGAAAAAAAATGATTCTTTTTGAAAGGCTGAACAAAAATTGCTTGCATTTAGAGGGCGCTGAGTTCTCACTCTCCTGCCTCTTTTCGGAAAAAATAACAATAATAATAATAATCAGGGTTTCCCCCAGTGTACTATAGGCCTGGCGGGCCACTAGGCTTTACTTGTGCCCCCACCAGGCTTAGCATTGCTTATCTATTTAAGTTTTTTTTTTTAATGTTTGCATTTTTTTAAGACTTTGTAGTTGGTGTTCAGATATTAATCTTCCAATCGTCCAATAACATAATTATCAAGTGATCTTTTCCAATTTCCTGCAAACTTTAAACATTTTTTAACTCAAAAACACGAACGGGCGGCTGGATGAACGACTGCCAAGCCACCCAACCACCATGTTTTCTGGGGGAAACCTTGATAATGATAATAAAAAAAAAATAAATAAAATAAAAGGCCAAGTGTTGCTCCTTCTTTTTTGTCAGCAGCTTGTAGTTTGCCCGGTAAAACTTCTGGAAGGAGGCGTCCACGGCCGTCCTGCGATGTAAGAGCCTGATGGGGGTCCGGAGGTGGGGGAGGGGGTTCGTCTGGTTTCCCTTAACCCGTCTGTATCGACGGGTCAGCGCCATGACCGCCCCCCTCACCCTTCCACCCAGCCCCCATCCCAGGCCCCACTTACCACAACATGTTCTGTCTGTTTTACCTTTACTCAGAGTGGAATGCATGTCAACGGAAATACATATAATACAGTGACGGAGAAAAAAAAAAAAACGATAATAAACTTCACAACACAGTAATATTGATTAAGAACTCATTTACACAGAAAGATGTATTTACAGTATACAATATCCTATCAATGTAATGGAGTAAAATATATATATAAAATACAAAAACATAGAGTAGTGTTTTATTTAAAAAAAAAAAAAAAAAAGGTTTTCAGAGACTGTACTCACTAAGGTTTCACCACTTGGGGAGATAAAATACATGCAACACAAACACCATAGCTATAAGAGTAATTTTTGTTTCCGTTTGTGTCAGCTGTGCTTGTGGTCGATGGAACGGATTGAACAGGAAATGTCAGGGCGACGTCAGAGTCCATCAGTAAGGCTTTCCTCGTATTCTAAATACCTTATAATTATTGCAAATGGATTCTTTATCCTTTTTATGTCTGTGCTTCGTCCTTGGATTAAATAAAACCAAGGATTTCTGGTCTGGTTAAACAAAGCTTTCCCCCATTAAATGAACGAGAAATGTCCCAAGTCTGCAAATTTTATGATAATGTATCGGTACTTTCTGCTTTGCACTCTGTCCCCGATGGCAGTTCACAAAAAGTTTAAATTCGGGTTAAACTTAGTTCATTTCAAAGAAAATTTTATAATTTGTACTTTTTTTTTTTTTTTTTGCAACGGCTTCGGAGAACTGCATCATTAATACACTGATGTCAAATTATTACTTCAATTGTCAATCGATGCCTTTAACTTCTACTTTTAATTGTTTATTTCTTCATGTCATGCAGTCATTTGAATATTTTGGTTTTTGCCCTGATGGTGGCGAACAACTGGGCAGCGACTTTAGCTCTAGAGGTCTAATGTTTTGTTTCTTCATTTTTGTTTTGTTTTTTCTGCTGTGAACGACGATGTCATTAGCAAGTCCTCTTTCTGAAAATAGACTCAGAGAGTGAAAAGTAATATGGCGATTTGTCCCACAAGTAGGGAAATTTTAATGGAAAATGACAGTTTTGAGACCTAGCAAACTGGAATCCGACCAGGAAATTTGAAAAAAAAAAACTTGATGGATAGTCTAGTATGGAGTTTATGTAGTAACAGGAAGCAGGACACTAATAAAGGATGCAACAAATAAAAAAAACTTATAAAGCGTCTAAAGTACAGATCCTCGCTTCAAATTCACGTGTTGCCAAAAAGAAGATATCTATCTATTCTATATACTTCCATTAGAAAGGGACTTTTTTTTTTTACTTATTTTTTTGTCAACAAGTCCGATCCTTTTGACAGGACGTTGTTCTCCTGACATTCCACACATCCTTGCAGCAGAACTCCGTGTACAGATGCGCACTTTACGTTTTGTGAAATCCCACCTCCAAGTGTCTCGTTTTGTCGGAAAGTGCATCTCAGATGTACGTCTTTGGGTAAATTGTTACTATTTAAGTCAGAACAGTTGAATTTGTAGACTTCTGCGAGCTCAAACGAGACAAAATAAAGATATCAGTATCACAGTAACAAAAATGTAAAAAGAAAAGAAAAAAGTTATAATAATTTCTATTTCTGCAGGAATTTTACTGACTTTCCAGAACGCAGAGTGAGTCTGTGATCCGTTTAGGCATCTGCCCTCATCCTCCGTTCACCTTGAACACCAGATGACAGACGACTCATCCCTGCAGCCGCTTTACTCAAAGCCTCAGACTTTCTTGTTCCCACAAGTTTCATCTTCTGGAATCTGTTGAACGTTTGCAGCGTTGATGTTCGCGCCCAAACCGAGCCGTAGTTCATAAATTTATCATGCAGTCGGTCTGAAAAGACCAGTGTCGATCTCTTTTAAATTTTCCAAAAAGATTTGTTTTTTTCTTTCTTATAAAATAAATATATTTACAAATCCAGAACAAAAAAAAAGGTCTGGTGAGTCAAGCAAGTCACACTGATCAGTGTTAACCGCGCACACTGAACCGTGCTCCGTTTGAATATTTAACGTTTGCTCTGAACATTCGCGTCGTCCTTCCTCTTCCACAAGCACACTGTTCTTATATTTATGATATAATGTAAACTTTTTGTTTTTCTTTTTATGATTTGTATGTTTGTTCTTTCTGCTCGTAGTGCTAAGATGATGTATCCTGTCCTCTGCCGCAGTTTGTTTCTGCTTGTTTTACTGTTCCAGGCCCCCTGGAGGAATGCGTTGCGTTTGCATGCTGGCCGCCTCGTTTGGGAAAGGAAAGGCGCTCACAGGGAACGATGTGCAAAGGTTGCAACAGTCTTAAGCCATAAAACTTCAATCATCAGAACGAAATAAGGAAGGAGCTTCACAGACGGGCGGGGCGCGGTACTTTTTTCTTTTTTCTCTTTTTTTTTTTGGAGTTGACAGAAAAGCGTGTATGCCTCGGTGTTACTGATGACATCATGCACTAAATCAAGAAGAAGTGTAGAGTATTTAATAGAACCTTTGGAGTGATGTTTCAACTTTACAGGTTGTGTGGTGTTATGAGAAAAAGTTTTTTTTTTTTTTCTGTTTGTTTTGTTTTTTGTTCATGGGGCCTGTATTGCTATATATTCTTGCTGTTATGAATTTGAAAAATGTAATAAAATTTACAACTGATGCAAATTGTTTTGGAGTCATTTCATCAACTTGGTTTGTAGCAGTTTGTCATTAAATTGATATTTAATTGGAACTTTTTTTAAAAAAATTTGGTGGAAAATTTAAACTTTATAAAGTTTAAATCAAGTAGAGTTTCATGCATTTATGCATTTTAAAAAGCTTGTTTAAGTTATATTATTTTCTTACCTCAAATTGAATGTGTAAAAATCCAAATAAGTTGAAAAAAAATATATACATATATTCAAACTAAAACACATTGATTTAAAGAAATGTTTGCTTAGAAAACTTTATATTCTCATCATAATTTGTACATTTTAAACTTTACAGTATTTGTACTCTATGTACATTTAATATGTCACACTGCTTTTTATGATCTTATTTATGTTATTTATGTTATTCTGTTAATAAAAGAACAGCAAAATCAACACCTGAGGTTCATTCATTTTAAACGAGATACTTTTAAATGAGAGAATTGTGAAATCTAAAGCTCAATTATAGTTATGCCAATTTCTGCCTTAGCCATACTTTGACTTTATGCTGGGTATTTTGTTCCTCACAAAATTCCTCAGTTTCCCCCCCATCTCCCCTTTTTTGTCACAGTTCAGAGTTTCGGATGGTCAAACAGCTTTTGTTTTGGTTTTTTTACTAATATTAAATGAAAATTAGTTAGATTCAACTTTATTGTCATTGCACATGTCCCAAGTACAGTATACAGTATTATAATATACAGTATTAGTGCAAATGCTCAGACTAAATACCTACAAACTATGATTGTGGTGAATGTACAAGCAGTAATATACATATGATGCAGCATTATTAAAAATACAATATTGATGCAATATTCAGACTACAGTATATACAACTATAACTATGGTGAATATATAAGCAGTAGGCAGTAGTATACATATGGCATATATGCACTTGGATTGTGGATTAACACAAACCATTTTGATCATTCAGCACCGATGCTGATGTGATTTAAAAAAAAAAAAAAAGACTTTTATTGCTGAAACATTTATGGTGATCGATGCAGCCAATAAAAGTGCTTCGGTGCACGATCATCATTTCACAGGAGTTCTTTGTTTATTTATTTTTGCGGAAATAATGAGTGTAATTGATTTCTAATTGTATTAGCCTAATATGTTGCAGACTTGTTTTTAATCTTCTCGGGGCCCTCGGAGGCCTCGCTCCGATTGTGTTGTTCATTAAAATGCTATTTGAGA